TAGAAATAGCATGATGATGGGGCCCATTCTGACCAACAAGAGATCGATTATCTAATCTCTTTTTTGAACCACAACCTCTGAACACAATTTATCTCTGCCTACAATTATAAAAAAAAAAACAAAACCACCTGAATTAGGATTTTTGAAGGCCAAAATTCCTTCTTATAGACACTCATCTGTGGGGAACAGAAGGATTTCTCTTGTCTCCCCAAAATAAGTACCAGACTTAGCTGCTTAAGAGTGACTGTACGAAACTGAAAAGCTGAATAACACAATAAAAAAAAGAGTGACTGTACGATAGATAGGTGGTCAGCGAAAGTAGGTCAGAGGTTATTCTCCTTAACATCAGCCATCTATAGTGACTAGACTATTAGTCTGACTCACCCTAAATAAGGTAAGGATAATGGTGGTCTGTTTACATGCAGGACATACCAGAGAGGGCAAACCTGCCCAAGGATGACCACGGTTAGATAGCCATTATCAACTGTCTAGATCAAGCAGACACCACTGTTTATCCCACAACAAATACGGGCACACCCCTAGGTGATTCCCCTCCTATTGATTGTATTGCTTGTGTTAATACCCCTCCCAGTGACTCAGGTTATTGTCTGCTATCAGCGAACTTGCATGCCTCCCAGAATAGTAATTGTCTGTTTTATTATATGAGACATCAGAGTGATCAAACTTGTTCTAGAATGAAATGTATTGCCCCTTTCTGTGATGTATGACTCTGTAATCAGGTCCCCCTAAAGTGATATGATGCGTGGTTAGCAATAAATAAGGAGGCTCCCTGGTTCTCGGGAGGGTGGCCGGAGAAGGTGACTAAGGAGGACGAAGCAGCGGCTTCTTCTCTGACGGCTAAGCCCCCCCCACGAGGACCACCAAGCCGAACTGAGGTGAGCTATGCTACCATGAATTGCGTCTGACTCCATTACTTGACTCCATCCTTTAACTCTCATGCTCTCTATGAGTGTACTATAATCTCTACTCATTATCGCTGTACAATTGTGCCTACCGAACCTGTGATATTTTGTGGAGTTCCCTCTTCCCCTTAACCCCACACTCATCCTCACTGCAACGATCTACCTCAGCCTTCTCTCCCCTTTGAAATTTGTTGCCCACTCTCCCCATTGCTCTGGATTGGATTCCCATTCATGGTTACCCTACATGGGATTTTGGAATGTAAACTTTCACCGAAGCAGACGGCCTCCTCTCTCTCCCAAAGAGCCTCTGCTAGTTCTAAACCACCTCCGCGATGCTCTGGCGCAACCCACAGCTCCCCGCCGGTGGCAATGGGAGGTTTTGCATCTATGCAGGGGAAAGGAAGTCACCTCACATCAAAGTTGGTGACTGTCCGTTTCTACATTTTAGGAGATGGCAACATTGTTTCCAATTTCCTTCCCAGATGTGTTCCTTTTGGGCTTGTTTCCGTTCATGGACTGTGGCTCCCAGGCAGCTGGCATCCTCTCAGTCTTATCTTGTCAAGACAAAAACAAAGAGTCTTTGTCCCAGCGTGTGGCCTTGAAGCTTCTGTTCCCTTGCTTTTCCTGGGAGGAATGAGAGGTATCTTTAAGGTAAACATTTCTCTCTAGGGAGGAGAGTTTGCAATGGAGGGTGGAGCAATGACTATGGAGTAAGTGGTTTTCAAGGTGAAGAGGCTGAGCCAAAGACCACGGCCAATAAAGGTCCAGTCTTGCTTTTGTGCGACCAAGAGAGCAGAAGCCAAGCGATTTCATTAGGTGTTTCACAGTCTAACAGGTGAGTGCCTTGTCTTTTCTTTCAACCCCACGGAGTGGTGGTGGACAGAGGATTTGAGGGGTGGTAAGGTAGAAGTGTGTTGAAGACAACATGAATTTTGTCTGTGACAGCGTGACCTTTCTTTCAAGTCCTCTCCGAGGTCACTCTGTAAGGCAGTCTGCTTCCCGGTAGCCTCTGGTTTGGGGTGAGGGATTCCCCAGGCTCTCACTTGCAGAAGGGGGCTGCAGGAGCTCAGAGCCCTGGACAAGGTCCTGAGACCAGAATTGCATGAGGAATTCGCTAGGAAGCGAACTCAAGTCCTGCGTGGGTGGCTTCATCTTAAACCCTGTGTGCGTGTGGGAGGAGGCTTGTGCGGAGCAAAATCAGCAAAGTTGTAGCCAAAGCAAGGCGAATCCCTTCCCAATGGCACCCGAAAGGACACCCGGGGTCGCTTGGCATGAAAGACAGGGAAGCCCCGTCCCTGGAGCGCCCACAGTGGGTCCAGCGGCAATTGAGTGCCCTGATGTTCGGGAAGTTCACTTAGCACCTCCAGTGGAGATGGGGGTGAGTGTGTGTGTGTGTGTGTGTGTCCAAGAGAGAGGGAGCCCAAGGCGCGAGAGTGAGAGGCAGCGTGAGCCTGGACACCGTCAGGGGGTGGATTCCTGTGCCTCTTCTCTACCACTTGGCTCGTGTCCTCCTCACCACAGAGAGGGACTTCAGAGTTTGCTGTAGGAGCTCGTGTTCTCTTCCCAAATGGGGGCGGCAGGTGTAAATGCAAAAATTACGTTCCTAGAGAATTGCCCAACCTGTCCCATCCCTGTCTCTCTAAGAGCTAGAGAGTGTAGGGGCAAAGGTTCAGAAAATTTACATGACCTGCCCCGGGCTTTCCTATTAGCAAACGACTTGCCCGAGCTCAGAGCAGAGCCTCATCACAGAAGCCCATTCACTTAGGCTGAGGCCGGACGTTTTGGTAAAACGGGTCTTCAGTCTCTCCCATTTCTTGTCTTTTCTTTCAACAACAAGTAGCGGTGGTGGAGATAGGATTGGGGGTGGGGGTGGGGTGGGAGGATAGAGATGTGATGAAGACCACATGTGTTTTGTCTGTGACAGCGTGGCCTTTCTTTCAAAGCCTCTCCAAGGCCACTGTGTAATCCAGTCTGCTCCCCAGCGTCTTTGCTTCCTGGTGAGTGGTCCCCCGTGCTCTAGCTTGACCATGACTGGATGGAGCTGCCTTGTGACCGGGGCTGGAGGGTTTCTGGGACAGAGGATCATCAGCTTGCTGGCCGAGGAGAAGGGGCTGCAGGAGATCCGAGCCCTGGACAAGACCTTCAGACCGGAATTGCAAGAGGAATTCGCTAGTAAGTGAACTCAAGTCATGCGTGGGGTGGCTTCATCTTAAGCCCTGTGTGGATATGGGAGGGGGCTCCTGGCCAGCAAATTAAGCAAAGTTGTAGCCAAAGCAAGGCGAATCCCATTCCCAATGGCACCAGAGAGGACACCCTGGGGAGCTTGGTGTCAAAAACCCTGGCCTGAGTATGCGGAGACTTGGAGCTGGCCTTGACCCAGAACTCCAGAGTGTGGTTGTGGGCTAGACGCTTGGACCTCCAGTGCTCTTTTCTTCATGACTAGAGATGACCCCTCAGCGTTCTCTCTTGTCCACAGTCCTGAGTGTTCAGAAAGGTTTGGCTTGGCTTTGGCTGTGCCATGGCTGCAGGGGGCAGGCAAGCTCCAGTCCTTGATGACCCCACAGGGGGTCCGGTGGCAATTGATTACCCTGTGTTTGGGAGATTCACTTAGCACCGCCAGTGGTGATGGGGGAAGGAAGGGACGTGGAAGCTGTGTGTGTGTGTGTGTGTCCAAGAGAGAGGGAGCCCAAGGCGCGAGAGTGAGAGGCAGCGTGAGCCTGGACACTGTCAGGGGGTAGATTCCTGTACCTCTTCTCTACCACTTGGCTCGGGTCCTCCTCACCACAGAGAGGGACTTCAGAGTTTGCCGTAGGAGCTCGTGTTCTCTTCCCAAATTATTGCCTCTGGCACAAATGCAAAAACTTACATTCACAGAGTCTTTTTCAACCTGCTCTATCCCTAGAGCCCTGGTGGTATAGTGGTTACCTGTTGGGCTGAGATCTGCACGGTCAGCTGTTCAAAACTACCAGCGGCTCCTCAAGAGAAAGACTGGGCTTTCTACTCCTGGAAACAGTTACCGTCTCGGAAACCCACAGGGGGTGGCTCTGAAGGGCAGTGAGCTTGTTCCTCTCTAGATCCTCAAAACAGTCACGAGAATGAGGGGAAAGGGGTCACACCTATGGGGACCCCCAGGGAGGAGCAAAAGTTCAGAGGGTTCGGTTGATTTTTCCTAGGCCACTTGATTAATGAGTAGCAGAGCTCAGACCCATCACTTGGCCTGAGGACATTTCTTCTGTGTGTGTCCCAAGCCTGTTTCCCCACCCCAACCCCCATCCCTGAGAGACTGGTGTCTCCATGTCGACCCTGGCTCCCAGAGCATCTTGCCTTCCACGCACCAAATTGGGGTCTGGACTCACACCTCTGAGCTTCCTGTTCTCTGGCCACGGCAAACATAGCCTTCTCCTCTACCCTCTAGTCATAGTATCTCTGATAAGCTAAGTCACACATGACACACCATATAGCCGAGCAATATTTCAAATCCACTCAGTAGCCCTGGCTGAGAAAGGTAGAGGGTTCACCCCGAGGAATGGTTAGGTCTTCAGTGATGGACATCCAGATGGCGTAATGGACAGGTAAGTGTGGTCTATGGATAATAATAATAATGAAAAAACTAACCTTACAGCCTCAGAAACCCACCGGGGCTGTCCTGCCCTGTCCTACAGGGTCTCTATGGCTCAATGACAGTGAAGTTGTTGGTTTTTGTTTTTTAAAGCGGGGGAAAAAGCCAAAAAAAAAAAAAAAAAGGTATTCTGTTGACTAGGGGGAGTTGTCGTTTTTCATCTTTATTGATATTGAGAAGCTAGTGGTTGAAGATCCCAATCAATGCCATTTGGGCATTTTGTGGGGATGGCCCAGTTAAATATTAGCTTCTTTATTGTTGGTTCCATCTAAGTCAATTCAAAGTTTCAATACTGATGATAAAAACATTATGTAGTCCTCTTCCCAATCCAGTTACTATGCCAACATAAGTTGGTTAGAGCTCAACTGGTTACAGTACTAGGCTAAGGACCTTATCCATGGTTTCCCCATCCATTCTTGTCAAAGTCATTGCTGTATGTCAATTCCAGCTCAGTTGTGCAGCCGATCAGGATCACACAGCACAGCAGCCACCCTCGCTCCACCAGGAACACATCACCCACAAATTTAAATATATACGGTGTGATTCCCTCTATTTAAAATACTTCCCACGCCCAACCCCCCCCACCCCCACCCCAAAAAGGCAGCGCTGGTCCCCTGTATTGATGGAAAGCAGAAAAGTGGTTGCCTAAGTACAGGGTGATGGTGAGATCGTGGACATGGGATCTAGATCGTGGTGGTGATTTCAAGGGTTGCATAGTGGTTAAGGCCTGGGCTGCTGGCTGCAAGGGCAGCAGTTCCGAACCACCAGTCGCTCTGCAGGAGAAAGATGAGGCTTCCTAGTCCTGGTAAAGAGTTCCAGTCTCAGAAACCCACAGGAGCAGTTCCACCCTGCCCCGTAGGCTAACCAGGAGTCCCAATCGACTCAATGGTAGTGAGTTTTATTTGTCTGATTTTTTTTTCATTTGTGTAAACTCATCCAAGTTGTACATTTGATATGGGTGCCATCTTTTTGTACATAAATTATACCTCTATAAAGTTGTTATGAAGGAAAAAACAAAAACTAGCCCACTGCCACTGAGTTGATTTGAAATCATCACAATCCAATAGGATAGAGTAAAACTGCCCTTGGGGGTTACTCAGGCTGGGTGGTTCTTTCAGCATCTCCAGTAGAGATGGGGGGAAGGAGGGGACAAACTGCCCCTGGGGGTTACTCAGGCTGGATGGTTCACTTAGCACCTCCGGTAGAGATGGGGGCAAGGAGGGGACATGCAGCTGAGTGTGTGTGTGTGTGTGTGTGTGTGTGTGTGTGTGTGTGTGTCCAAGAGCGAGGGAACACAAGGCCCAAGAGTGAGAGGCAGCGTGAGCCTGGACACCATCACAGGGATTCCTGTGCCTCTTCTCTACCACTTGTCTTAGGTCCTCCTCACCACAGCATTTGCTGTAGGAGCTCAGTGTTCTCTTCCCAAATGGTTGCAGCACGTGTAAATGCAAAAATTACATGCCTAGAGTACTTCCCAACTGGTTCCATCCCTATCTCTCTAAGAGAGCCACATGAGAAGTAGGTCACACCACCTGGGCAGTGTAGGGGCAGAGGTTCAGACAGTTGACGTGACCTGCCTCAGACTTTCCTACCTGCCTCAGACTTTCCTACAAACGAGTTGTCCAAGTTCAGCACAGAGCCTCATCACCTAGACCCCATCACTTGGCCCGAGGTCTGACTTTTGGTAAAATGAGTCTTTGATCTCTCCCATTTCCTCTGTGTGTGCCCCTAGTCTGTCCTCCCGCCCTCTCCTGAGAGCCTGCTGTCTCCATGGTGACCCTGAATCCCAGAGGATCCTGCCTTCCTTGCACCAAATTGGGGTCTGGATGCATCCCTCTCAGCTTCCTTTTCTCTGGCCCTTTCAAACGTCCTCTCTCATCTATTCTCTGCTTGCATGGTGCCTCTGATCATCAAATTCATACATTACCAATCATAACTTTTCATCGTTGTGATGTCTGAGCAACATTTCCAATCTGATCAATAGCTGGTGCCAAGAAAGGGTGATGCTCAACTGTAAGGAATGGCTAGTTCCTCAATGATGGACATCTACGTGGTGTGATGGACAAGTACGGGTTGTATGCAGATAATAATAAAACAGGACAAAACAAAATAACAAACTCACTGCCACTGGGTCCATTCTGATTCATAGTGACCCTGTAGGACAGAGTAGAAATGCCCCTGGGGGCAGAAAGCCCATGTTTTCTTACCAAGGAGTAGCTGGGGGTTTCCAATGGCTGGGTTTGCAGTTGATAGTCCCACACATAGTCCTCTATGCCACCAGGGCCCCCGTGGACAATTACAGAGGATGCCTGTCCAGGGAGATAGTGGTGGTGAAAGTAATTCAGAAAGCTGAGAATTACGTGCGAAGCTAGAGAGCACAGTGCAAGTGTGGGGCTCTCCCATGGTATTTGCTGCATGGCATTTATTTCCTGGGCTCCCTGGGGTGACTTAATTGTCGCTGTCACATCCTGGGGATGAGAGAGGAAGGTAAAGATACTGGCATGGTAGCCTCTGCCTGGGCTGTTGGTTTGTGTGCCAAGTCCTTCCAACTCATCGCGACGCTAGAAGTCAGAGGGTGTCAGAGGACCATCCTGCCTCCTGTGCCCCCTGGAAAAATGAGTAGAAGACCGGAGAAGAATCGGTGGCTTTGAATTAGGATATCCAAGAATATCAAGTAGTTCACGGAATGACCGAAGAACAAACCGATGTGTCTTAGAAGTAAATCCAGAGTGCTTGCTCGTAAGAAGGAAGGATGGCTAGACTTCATTTGCCTTGTGGACTTTGGAAATGTTATGTCTCAGCAGAGACCCTTTCCTGTAGCAGGATGTCGTGTTTGGTAAGGCAGAAGACCAGCAACAAAGGGACATGGCCGATGAGACAGACTGACACCGAGGCAAACCAGCCTTAGCAGGGACTGTGCGGATGGTACCAGACCGGGCTGTGTTTTCATTCCGTTCCACCCAGGGTGTGGATACCACCAGGTGTCCACACTAACTTGGCAGCACGGTTAACTTACAAAAATCCTTTGAAGGGGAACAACTGCCACACGTTATCCCACAGATCCCCCACCACGAAAACTGCACTCACGGCCACGGAGTCAGTCTGACTCAGGGCGACCCCCGCCAGTTTCTGAGGCTGTAACTCTCTACGGGAGTGGAAAACCCCATCTTTCTCCCATAGGACTGTTGGTGGTTTCGAACTGCTGACCATGCTGATTGCAACCCTGCTCGTAGCCCTTACACCACCAGGGTTCCTGGGTGGTAAACAGATGTCTGCTGTTTCCCAATAAATGTCATTCATCCAGTTTGCTGTTTGCTGAAACATGTGGCGGTAGCTGGTCTTAGTGACTTCAAGGACCCGCAGGCTGGATGTCCCCCACCCCCGATTTAGACTGACCCTAAATCCCCCCTTCATGGTGACATGAGTTAAAGAGCTCAGCTGCTAACTGGAAAACTGACCATTCACACCCGTCTGTCGCTATTCAGGAGAAAGATATGAAAACGTGCAGCCTTGGGCACCCGGTGGAGCTGAGCCTGTAGGAGAGGACTCCCCAGGCATTGGATTTGGGGCTTTAGTTTGGACTCTCCTGGTCAGCCAGCCTAGAAGCTCTTCGTCACCTGCTTCCTCCGCACCTCAGCCTCTGTGTCGTCACGACATGGTCCATCCGGTGATGGTCTGTCATGACACCCTTGGGCTCCCCTTCTCTGCAGCCCTGGCCCGGGACGCCCTCCCTAACACTTGGGTCAGCATTCGGCTTGATCTCTTGGTTGTTCTGCACAGGGGGGCCGAGGCTAGCTTCGTCCGGCCCAGCTCTTATCTGTGTTCCTCCACGCATTCCATCATTACTCATCACCTGGCTCCAACGGAAATGCTTTTCCTGAAGTCCAGCTCGCCACAGCCTCCCTCCTCTCCATGCCACGTTCGAACCCAGTTCCCGTGATGCGTCATCACACCTTTTAGGTTCAGGCCCGTGTGGCTCCTCATGGCTCTAGTGCCTTTCTGGGGCTGAAGTAGGAGGTACACAGATGCTGACTCTTTCTCAAGAAATGTCCCTCATTCCGGTTTTTCTAGTATGGGGTGCTCCTCCTTCTACCTGAAATGCATACCTGTGCTTGTCCAGGTAGGCTAGAGAAACAAATTCATAGACTCTCATATGTGTATAAGAGAAAGCTTTATATATGAGAGCAATTGTATATGGAGAAAACATCCAGATCAAGTCCATCAGTCTGATATTAGCCCATATGTCCAATACCAATCTGTAAAGTCCTCTTCAGACTCACGAAACACATGCAATGATGCCGAGTGCAGGAAGATCACAGGCCTGTGGGTGGGAAGTGGCGGTGTAAGCATCTCAGTGCTAGCAGGGATCTCCACGTGGTTCCTCCAGCTCCCAGGGCTCTGACTGCATCCAGGTAGCTGCATGTGACTTCTAGTCAGATATGTCTCGGGAAGTGAGCCTGCATCCTGCGTCCAGCAAGCTATTTATCTCCTTAGCGCCTCTAAATGAGGTTATCAAGCTGTGAGCTGATTGACAGGTGAAATCCACCCCTTCACTCATAAGTCTCAAATTTACAACCGATTATGTACCTGATACAACACCATTCCCCCTTCTCTACCTGTCCCTGGAGATCTGGGTAATATTCAGCTTTTCCAGGGAAGCTTCCAGGTCATATCCATGGGGGAAATCATGGCTGTGGAGTCCATTCCAACGCCTAGCAAGCATACAGCACAGAGGAGAACTGCCGCACAGGATAGACAAGGCCATGAAGGAAGCAGACCACCACATCAATCCCCCGAAGAGGGGCTGGTTTGTGGGTTGGCACTGCCGACCTTTCCGTCAGCGGTCAAGGGCTGAACATCTGTGCCACCAGAGCTCCGGTAAGTAGCCTGGCTTGTGTTCACACAGAGCTCAAGCACAAGGTCAAGCTGACGCTGCTGCAGGGAGACATCCTGGATGAGCAGTGCCTGCAGAGAGCCTGCCAGGGCATGTCGGTGGTCATCCACGCTGCCGCCGTCATTGACGTCAGCGGGGCCCTCCGCAGAGAGGTCCTCATGAATATCAACCTGAAAGGTACGGGACATCCAGGGAAGGGGGTGGCCTGAGATGAGAAAGAGAGGATTGAGAAATAGGACAGGCAAGTGCTTTTGCTTATTCCAGTCAGCTGAGAGACAAGGAAGAGAGGCCTGGCACTCTGCCTGCATACAGAATACAGCCTGACAAACCCTCTGGGGAAGGGTGCAAGGCTGCCACCATCTGCTGAAGGAGCCCGGGTGAGAGTGGTTCCTGAGCTCAGCAGTTCAAACCCGCTGCTGTTAGCTCCTCAAGTGAACCACCTGTCAGTCAGCTTCTGTAAAGATACTCTGTGGGGTCGCTCTCAGCTCTCCTATAGGGATACCAGGAGAGACTCTGTGGCCTTGGGGTGAGGGTGGTCATCAGCCTTAGCTTTGGAGGGATCCCAAGAATACCAGGTCACATAACTCAAACTTAACCCCATGCGTGTGTGACTGCAAGGCCCTGAAAGTGACTGCTGCCCCACAAGAGACAGGGCAACTCCCACCTAGCTCCACCCGCTATCTCCTCTGGGCCAGGACCACACCTCAACTGGGCTGCCTGGGTCGCACGCTGGCTCTCCTGGGCAACTTCTGGGTGCTGATTGTACAGTAACGCCTGAGGGCCATGTGATACAAGGTGCCCCACCCTGGTCAGTCAGCTATAGGCTAGCACTCCAGTCACTTGACGTCCAGTGCAGGGCCAAGCAAGAGTAATGAGGACAGCAGAGCCTCTCGCCAGCACGAGGAATGGCTCTTCTTAGGAGAGCTGGCAAAGTCAGCTCCACTCCACGAGCTCATTCGCTTTGAGCCCCACACGCCTATCTTAGCAATAATGGTTTCCTATTGTAACCAGAAGGCCACCTCTTCAGCTTACCACTCAGACTGCTGCTATTGAAGAGTCCTCCCTCGTGAGGTCCACTGTCTGTCCTCCTTAGAACTTTATCTTTTAAATTCTTGGCGGCACTTCCTGAAATTTGGCTCTCCAGCCTACTGTAACTCTAGACACTGTGGCCTCAGGGTTGGCCATATAACACCAGGGTCTCTGAAAGGGACTCTGGCAGCAGACTGGTTTAAGTGCTGGGCTGCGCTCACCACGGTTTGGGTGCTTCAAACCCACCAGCCACTCCTTGGAAGAAAGAGGGATCTCTCCGATCTCTAAACAAGCTGAGTCGACATAGAATCCCCTGGAATACTGCCTCATGAACCAAGAAATCATTCTCCCATAGGATTATGACCACTCAACTCTTAAAAAACCAACGACACCAAACCCCTGCCCTCAAGTCTAGGCTGACTCAGAGTGACCCTACAGAACAGACGAGTGTGGCCCCATGGGGGTGGCGGGGGCTCCACATCTCTGCAAAAGCAAACTGCCTAATCTTTCTCCCACTGAGCAGTTGGTGGATTCGAACCACCACCATTAACCCATTACACCACCAGGCTCCTTAACCTCGAGTCTAGGGATTCAGATGCACAATACAAATTGGGGGGTTGGGGGGGCACATTCATTCCATGACAAGCCTCCAACCTAAAATAGCACCACCCCCCAAGAGACTCATTCCAGTTTCTTCCATTGTTGCACCACTAGTCGTCCCCATGTTGCTAGGGGCTTCAGATGAGCCAGGTTTGAAGCCCTCTCATTCCTGGGCAATGATTATTTTTTAAACCTTACTTTGGGTCTGTCTTAAGGTCTTGTGAAATTTCATTTTCCATGAAGACAGCCTCATTGTGTTTGAAAAACGGAAAAATAGAGGCAGAGGATATTTGGAGTTAATTTAATCTGCCGATGAAGTACATAGCCTTTTTAAACACAAAAGCCTTGGTGAAGTATTTTCTACTCCTGGGAATGCTGGTGATGGTAGTGACCTGGTGCTGCTGACACTCCTTGGGGAGTGGGAACCTCCTGTTGGGAACTTGGGGGAGCAGCTGGCCTGCTCTGGAATCCACCCTGGCTCATGGCTGCCCTGCAGTACCCAGGAGAGCAGCGGACAGATTTCCGGGACTTTTCTCCCAAGTGGCATCTGCAGTGAATCCCACACACTGATCTTGGCTGACAGCAAAGTGCTTTAACTATTGCACCCCTGGGGCTCCTTGGGATATATGTGGAGCTAGGTGGGAGTTGCCCTGTCTCTTGTGGGGCAGCAGTCACTTTCAGGCCCTCCCCTGTCTAGAGAAGGTGCTGTCCAATTTCTAAAAGATTGTCCCATGAACAGAGTGATCACCAGACGGCGCCCTCCACCTTCCGGATGTCAACTAAGCTCGCCTAACAGGTCCATGCTGGCTCCGGAAGGCTAAAGAAAAGGAATAGCCCCGCTTTTCATAAGCGGGTCCTGGCTACAGTGTGAGGGGCCTTCGGTGTGTGGGAACACTCAGCAGAAACAGGATCTGGGGCTCCAACTCCTTTCCAGAGCCCACCATCATTTGCTCAGGGAGTCTCAAAGAATGGTCCCGATGACCAAGTGTGGGTTGGTCTGCAACAGGAAGGGGCAAACACGAGTGACTTAGGGTCCGTGGAAGGGCAGGCACTGCTTACTTACAATTCGGTAGAAGAGACAGAGTTCGTTCTTGGACTGTCTCTTTGGGCTGAGGAATAAAAATATGAGACCCTCCCTGCCATTGAGGCCACTCCAGTGTGTGGGGATCCCACAAGGTCCGCACAGTTGGGAACCACCGGTCTGTGCTCGGGAGAAAGCGGGGAGGGGTGATGCTCCCATCAAGCTTGCTGCTCTCAGGAACCACAGGGGCAGCTCTCCTCTGTCCTTTAGGATCAGGATAAAGCTGAGGACTAAGCTTGTCCATGCTGAGATGCCGGACTCTTTATGTTTGCATTCAAAGCGACCTGTCCATGATGATCTCAGGTGGATTACATAGATGCTCATTTTCAATGACTCTGCTTGGCAAAATGCAAAGTGGCAGCCCTGTCTCTTTCTAACAATTGAAACACACACACACACACACACACACACACACACACACACACATCCTGAATTCCCATAATCTAGAGTCCTGCTCTCCAGAACTCCGATGCCAATCTCTCTTCACTCTCCTGTTTGTCCTGTAGGAGTCCCTGGGTGGGGTAGACAGTTAAGAACCTGAGTCAAAAGGCCCAGAGGTTTGAACCCCACACCCCTCTCCCCGCACAGAGGCCCCTAGCAATCTGCTTCTGAAAGCTCACCATCCTGAAAACCATCCGTCTGCGTGAGTTCTGCTCTGTGTGCACAGGCGTCAGCCCAGGCAGATTCCACTCAACCACAACTAAGAGCCACCTTGCTCGGGGCTAAGCCACAGAGACAAATTGCTCTAAGTGCCCTTGCCCTGTGGTGGTACCATGACCAGGTCTCAGCCCAGGATCCCCTCATCTGTAGGAAGGAGCCCCCTGGAGGTGGGTGGTGGCCGAGACCTGGGAGTGTGGCCCGTCCGTCTTGGGTTGTTTGCTAACCCCACCCTCCGTGCACTTGGGACAGGTACCCAGCTGATGTTGGAGGCCTGTGTCCAGATGAGCGTGCCCATATTCATCTACACGAGCTCCATCGAGGTGGCTGGGCCCAACTCCTACACCGAGGTCATCCAGGACGCCTGCGAGGCCCAGAACCTCGAATCGAAATGGGCCGCCCCGTACCCGTACAGCAAAAAGCTTGCCGAGAAGGCTGTGCTGGCGGCCGACGGTCGCACTTTGAAAAACGGAGGCACCTTGTACACCTGCGCGCTCCGGCCCATGTACATCTATGGGGAGCGCAACAGATTCCATTCTGCGCAAGTCAATGAGGCTCTGCAGAACAACAGGGTCCTGGCGGAATTCGCCAAGCATTCCTTCATCAACCCGGTGTACGTGGGCAACGTGGCCTGGGCTCACATTCTGGCCTCAAAAGCCCTGCAGGATCCCAAGAAAGCACCGACTGTCCGGGGCCAGTTCTACTACATCTCGGATGACACCCCGCCTCAAAGCTACAGTAACTTCCTTTACACCCTGAGCAAAGAGTGGGGTTTCCGCCTGGATACCAGAATGAAACTTCCCGTGTTCCTGCAGTACTGGATTGCCTTCCTGCTGGAAATGGTGAGCTTCCTGCTGAGCCCGATTTACAAGTATCGACCCCCCTTCAACCGCCACCTGGTGACATTGTCCAACAGCGTGTTCACCTTCTCCTGTAAGAAGGCCCAGCAAGACCTGGGATACAAGCCGCTCTACAGTTGGGAAGAAGCCAGACAGAGGACCACCCAGTGGATAGGCTCCCTGGTCAACCTGCACAAGGAGGCCCTGAAGGCCAAGGTTCACTGACGGAGGGCAGGGATGTGGGTCTGGGTGCTGCTTGGCCATGGCTGTGCCGTTCCTACTACTGGCTTCCTGCAGAATGTCACATGAGCCCAAGCATACATCCCACAACCCCTTCCACAAGAAAGCCACCCTTGGATCTCCCAGTGGCCAGCAAAAAGGGTACCCCCACTGCCCGACCCAAACACCTCCCCGCACACTCCCGGCCCAATCCAACATCTCCCCACCCACTGCCCCCTACCAATCCCCTGGGACACAGCGTTATTAGCTTCGGCTACCTTTCCAAAGTCTCTGGTGCTACTTGGGGTATCTTTTAACTACAATTTGTGCCTATTAGATCCAATTATGCTTTTTAATTTTTCCCCCAATTTTCCTTTTAAAAGCACTACTTTTTCTTAAAAACTCTGTATTCATTTATCCAGCTCAATGAAAGGAATAATAAAATTTTAAAGCTCTTTCGGAGGTATTTGTGGTTTATAATAACACCTTCCTCTCAACTCATCCTCCCACGACCTGTCAGCCCATCAATATCACCTGTGCTCCCACCACAGCACAGAACTGGGCAGAAAGAAATGGTGATGGGGTGGGGAAAGAAGGGCGGAATGTACAAACCATCGACTGTTTCAGTAAGATGCTAGACGACTGGCATATGGACACGTGTTAGATCTGCAACAGAAGGTAGGGATTGTCATTCCCATCATATGGATGCGTGAACTTGTCCATGGTCCCCGTAACTCGGGTAGGCTGTGGTGGTGGGGTTGGCTCTGTGTGGACTCCAGCAGAGCCCCAAGGCATGTGGCCCTGATCCTTGGGAGAGCTCAGCTCCTCGGGCGATCTCCTTCTTGCCCAATCTTCTGCTGAGGCAGACTTCCCAGCTGGAATCCCTGAAGGGCCCCTGGGAAGATTGGGATGCTGTAAGGAATGGCCTGGGTGGAGGATGGAGAAGCATCTCCATCTCTCCCTGGAGGTCTCTGGGACACACCTGGATTTGGGTGAGTTGGCCATTCTGGTATTTCATAGCCCCTCATGCCAACCTTGCAAAGCACCCAGTGGAGCCATCCACATAGAGGGACATGTGTGAAGTCTCCCTGAAA